CAATAATCTTTGATCCCATCGATAAACTTGATCTATTTGTTAAAGGAAATACACAGAAAAATTGCAAATTTAATCGAGTGTCTTATAAATAAAAGATTATTGCAAAAGCAGTCTGTTTCGATAGAAAATCGTGGATGAAACTTTCTCTTGTCATACTTCTATAAAATTTCTATATATAATCAATACTTTATTCGTCGGTTGTGAAACTACTTGTAAATCGATAGTAATGAAGAAGATAAACATGCATGTTAAATTCTATAAGATCTCTAACATTTACTCGTCAGTCTCCGGCTTTCTTCGATAATAATCAAATCGTTTATTCATTTCTTCTTATCTTTCATAAACAGGTTTACGTATATTTTATTTACAGTATTGAGATATATAGAGATTTTGATAATCGTACCCATTGTTAATAATAATCGTGAGTCTTTCATTTCTGATCTCGTTTTGCGTTCGATTCGTCCACCATTTTACACTATACAAAAGATGTACATAAGATCCAACGATTTAATATATAACATATTTATATTTATATTTATATATATAGATTTGTATAGTCTAAAGTTTTGGCAAAGATTGGATCAATATAAAACATCGTTATGTTTCTATGAGTGCTGTATATATACACACGAAAACTTTGTAACTTTCAACGTTTCTTGCGGTATGGTTCAATATACACATGTACAGGTTACCATCTTGTCGAAGAACTAAGTTGCATCGAAGATGGGGATTGTCGATTGTGTACTAACAATATTTCGAATGTTTATATCAACTCCGAACAGAAAAAAAAAGAAAAGAAGCAATTCCTGTTGAGTGCACAAAGCTTTTTATTTTTTCTTTAATCGAGGTTCTTATAGAGCACAAGCATTGGCGTAACGGAGGAGTCATTAGAATGGGCCAGAATCCGCTAAATGTATGGACTGACCCATTAGACACAAGGAATGGATCTTAGTGTGTAGGGTGGAGCGTGTGGCGCGGTGGGCGTAGTGTGTAGCGCGTAGGCGAAGCGTACGGTGCGAGCAGTGTAGTGTGGAGCGTATGGGGCGGAGCGTATAGTGTATAGGGCGGAGCGTATAGTGTATAAGGCGGGGTATACGGCGCGCTGGGCGTAGTGTGTAGCGCGTGGGGAGGAGCGTACACTATGTGAGGCGGTGCATACAGTGCGAGGGGCGGAGCATATAGTGTGTAGGGCGGAGCATATAGTGTGTAGGGCGGAGCGTATAGTGTAACGTGAATTATGTAATGTGAGAGTTGTAATGTATAACGTATGGGATGTGAAATATGAAATGTACCATGTTGTATGTGAGACATTTATTAACGTTGGAGGCTTGACTATGAGAACAACGCACAAAATGGAACGAAGATACGCTTCATAAGGCGTATCTCGTATTTACTAGACCGTAGAGCATAGCATAAAGTATTTGAGGCATGGAATACAAGCCATAGACTGCAACCTGTAAGATGTAGCGTATGAGGATGAACTGTACAGTCTGTGAGGCGTAGCGTGAAGTGTACGGAGCGTGCATAGCATATGACACGTAAGGCGTAGCGTGTAACGAATGGGGCGTATCATGTGCTTCGAGGTGTAGCATATGAGGCGTAACGTGTAGCAATTGTGGCGTGGGACGGACTATCCAGCGTATAACGTGTACCATGTACGCAACGTACGTTGAATTCTAATAGCCGTATATCTAGTATAGAATGTGAGATGCAGCGTGTAACGAGCATGAGGGTATGGGATGCAGTGTAACGCATGGGGCGTGTAGTAAAGCGTGAAGAGGTGTAACATGTAGTGCGTGGGTGTAAAACGTAACGCTTAGGGTGTAACGTACAACGTGTAGGGCGGAGTGTATGCAAAGTATGGGGCGTGGACAGTTTTAGTAAACGAGACTTCATTCATCTCGTATAAAATCCTTGTTACGCCAATGGAAGCGGAGAGGCTTGCTTAAAAAAAGGTTTTAACATAATCTAGTCCTTAGACATGGCAAATTAATTCGTAAAATTCTGATGAGATGTAGACAGACATATAATGTTTTAATAATAATTAGTAATCATGGTGGAGTCTCAGTAGACTTCAACTTGTGAAATATGAAAGTTGCACATGTTAATGAAAGATGATCCAAAAGGTGACATGGAATTATTCAGGTCAGTGCCGTCGTTAGTACTGGGCAAACAGGGCACTAGCCTTAGGCTTCGTGTCTGTTGACTTTCATATTTCATAAAAATTGAATACACGTGTTATAATTTCGTATGTCTCGACTGCAGTTAAGAAACTGTTTAAAAAATAGAATAATCGTTGCATAACCTCAATGTTTCATTATGTCACTCAACTCAATTGCTTTCGATTTCCGTATTTAACTAATAAACTAAGGACATTCATAATGTATCGTACAATTGAATATCTACATTATTTATTAAATTTATGGACTTCGAACACGTATTTCTTTCCACATTTCATTAGAAAGTAGACTCTCCGTATATTGCCACGAATCGAGTTATAGCAGCTGAAAAGTCATGGAGTTGGCAGAACCTGCCGTAAATATGGAACTATGGACCAGATTGAAATACTGTGTTATCGTCTTTACAGTATTTCGCAACAGTAATGATGTTGACATTCTCAAACCCGAGAGTGTGATTTTACACATTCTAGACAGGCAACGATATCTAGATCTGTTACTTCGGAATCGTACATGTTCGGTAAAGATGAACGGGTTATAACTCGCAATCAGTGCGATCTGTTAGCGGACTTAAAGGGGCGGGGCTTGCGAAATCAGCCTCCTTTCTTGCGCCAGTTCGACACCTCCAACTGCCCCGCCCACCACTTTCGAGGTATCGTGAGTTAGAACTCTCAATTTATATCTGTTCAACCCATTTTTCTTTACTTAGTATGTTCGAGTATAAAATAACCGATAGGTACAATTTCTAAATTTTTTAATTTTCAAATTTTCAAAATTTTTAATTATCCAATTCCCAAATTTCTAAATTTTCACATTAACACATTCCAGAAGTCCCTAATTTCCAAAATTTTAAAATTTTCACATCAAATTCCAAAATCCCCAAATTTCCAGATTACCAAATTCCAAAATCCCCAAATTTCCACATTATCAAATTCCAAAATCCCCAAATTTCCACATTTCCAAATTTCAGAAATCCCCAAATTTCCACATTACCAAATTCCAAAATACCTAAATTTCCACATTACCAAATTTCAAAATCCCCAATTTCCAAAATTTCCAAATTTCCACATTACCAAATTCCAAAATCCCCAAATTTCCACATTACCAAATTCCAAAATCCCCAAATTTCCACATTACCAAATTCCAAAATCCCCAAATTTTCACATTTCCAAATTCCAGAAATTCCTAATTTCCACATTACCAAATTTCAAAAATCCCCAATTTCCAAAATTCCCAAATTTTCACATGAAATTCCAGAAATCCCCAATTTCCAAATCCCCAAATTTTCTCATCATCAAATTCCAGAAATCCCCAATTTTTAAAATCCCCAAATTTCCTACTTGTCAAATCACTTTCAGAATTGTTTAATTTTCAAATTTCCAAAATTTGAAATGGTGATTCTATTAATTTAGAATCCTATTTCTTTTCACTCACTACATTCGATCTCAGACTAACGTCGTTCCAACAGATTAGCCTAACCTAACCTAGAATGTGTAATATTATTCAATCGGGTTTGACCGCGTCAACGACGTAACGATAGTAGGAAGTGGAGCCACCAGTGTGCGTGAGAACCCGCGTAAAAGTGGCAATATAACGAGAGTCTACCACGCATATATATATTTATTTATACGCAATGTACTACTTAACTAAATCGTTCGCCACATCGGAGTAAATTAGAGCTAAACGTAAGAAAACCATACAAGAGTAAAAAACTGAATTCCTCTCCGTTTCGAAAGGAAAGTTCCGATAGCGTTGGCAGTCTTTAGTCTACGAATTACTGGTCTAAAGATCAGCCATCTTGTGGAGAACGATGAAACAGCTGATCAAGTCTTGTATCAAATTAAATTGACGGTTCAACGAGTCTTTTCTTTCCTCCCCCTCTAATTTGTCGTCAAACGTCTTTTTACGATAAATCACGAGGGTGATTTGTCTTGTTTATCTTCCTGTCTCTTTATTTATTTACACGTTATGCAGGCGTATATACTACCTTATCACATATTAATTATTATCATTAATTACACGAGCGTTGAAAACGATAGACGAGATCATGAAATGACCGTGATTCATTTGTTCGGTGAAATTCTTTCGATTCCGTACACAGTACAAAAGTCGAGAAACTTTGCTTACATCCTCGTTAAAACTGCACGAAAAAAAAGGATTTTTCTCTTTGTACCTCCTTTAACGACGGGAGATTCGTGAAAAATTCAGGATCGGAATAATGAAGTACAAGACCGATTTCAGATGAGAGAAATGAAGTTGGAATTCTCGTTGCAGAATAGGTAGCAGCGTGCTTTCGGTTATGGACTAACGAGGAGAAAGAATCGTTAAGGCAACAAAGGATAGCAAGGCACCTCGTTATTTCTTTTGATTCCACGTACTTCAAGATATCCTCTTTTTTCGCATCAGATGAAACGGTAAACAAAGGTTATGTTTACAAAGTGTCAAGGTTAGGTTAAGGATTCACGGAGAAACTGTGAATTACAGATTTCACTGAAATTTTGTGCGATTACAGAGTGACCTTTTTGTAGGACGTAACTTAGGGTAATAAAACGGTACAGGGTCTCACAATTAGTGTAGTTAATTAGGTGGAATTGGGAATTAGGTGGTGGGGTTCGAGATTCTGAATAAAATTTCCCTTTGCGAAAATTCAGTCCGAAGCTTCGTTTTTGAATTATTAGGGAAAAACACCGGACCAATCAGAGCGCGAGGATTTCGCGCGCTCAGCTGATAGGCTCGAGGCTCTCGCGTCTGCGCATGCGCAATCCTCGGGGTGTTTTTCCTTAATAATTCAGAAACGAAGCTTCATATAGCATTTTTGCAAAGGGAAATTTTATTCAGAATCACATCAGCTACCCCCCATTTCAGGGACCACTAATTGTGAGACACTCTGTATATCATTCATCTTCGATCATCTTTTAACATATTCGATTTAAGAGTAAGTGTTGTCAGCCATGTTATGATATGAAATGTATCTTTGCATCTTGAAAATAAAAGTTTGAAACCAATTTTTATCTTGACAAAATTTTGAGAAAACTTTCCAAAGTTTTCTATGAAAGTTTCGAAGTTGTAAAGTATGCTTTGTATATTACACAACATGTAGTAACCTGTTGCAAGTTTTGTTATCAAGGTATGACCCAACCAATGGATTTCATCAAGGTACCTCTGCAACAATTTCTTTTCTCCATAATCTCACAAAATCTCAAAAGAATAGGCGAACACCCAGTCCCCTCATCAGTCAAAATATTCGTTCCTCTATAAATATACTTCATCGTCAAATTCAACCACTCACGGCCGTGTATTTATTGCTTTCAACCTCCTCCAATGCCGCAAAGGATTTCGATCATTGTCCTGGTACGAACGTCTAGCTGAACCTAACCTAACATCCCGTACTGAAAACCAAACGCAAGATACTTACGACGAAGTAGAACGCAAAGGGAAAGAAGGTGAAGGTCGCACATTTCTTTAAGCACATCACCGGTACCGTTTTTTTCACTGGTAACTAGGATCGCTGGTCTGGCTCTTATTGGCTGGCTGAGATGTCGGCGACGCCTTGGTGAAGTTCCCGAAGCTTTTGGCGGGCGAATCGGTGGCGACGTTAGCTAGCACTTTGTCCCGGAGGGGCGGAGCCGAGCTGATGCTCGACGAGCTGACCCCGGAATCGCTGGACTTCTCGCTGAGACAACTTCTTTGACCCAGACCGGTCACGTTGCCGCCACTTTCGAGGCCAAGGTCGTTGCTTCCGACCACGTATTTCACCATACCGCCGACCTTCTGTCCACTTTCACAGGTGTCCTCGATCACCACCGTCTCCCCGAAGTTGCCTCGCTTCGCGATGAATCGGACATTGCCGCCGCGCAGCAACGGCGATTTATCGAACTGACCTTCCTTCTGACCGGTGACGTTGTAACTGATGGGGATGTTAGGGTGGAAGTCGTCCTTGCTGTCGGATCCCTGGGTGCCGTCGGGGTTCGGACCGGTGACGCTCTTCGTGGGCACTGCCACGTCGAGATTGTTCTCCCTGGACACTTTGGTGGTCGTCGAGGATTCCGGGCTCACGGTACGCCGGCCAGTCAGGTTCTTGTGAGCATCGTAGCATCCAGAATCCCGAGGGAACTGGCGACGATTAAACGGTGAACAATGGCCGGACGTCTGGCCTGATGTTAGCACCAGGCGATTTACCTCGTCCCCCTCTGAGCTTGAGGCTAAGTCCCCTTCGCTTCCGGCTGGTGGACAGAACGGAAATTGATTTGTTAGCTTACAATTCTACATTTTGACGTTCTACATTTCTACATTTATTGATCTTTCTGCTTCAAAACTTTCTACATCAATCTTTTTGTTTGTGACTTAACACTAGTTTTACGGATTGAGCTATTTTTAGATTTGAAATTATGTACAGTAAATGTGGGATGAAACATAAATTAATTTTTGAGATGGAAGTTAACATGTATTTTGACAAAAACATTTAGTTAATTTTTGTAATTTAAGATGAATAATCCAACATATACCATCTTGGTTCTGTAAACCTAACTAGCTGGTGAGTACATCGAGAATGTTTTGAAAGTTTAAAAATGTGGAAGATTATTAGATTGAAAATTCAAAAATGCTTAAGTTTCTATCAAACTAGCATGTTAGGTTTAGTTGCACGTTTGAATATTATTATTAAGTCATTTTCTGAACATTGAGGTTAACTTAGCCTATAAATTTAAACAGCAAAGTTTGACATACTACATATTAAATACATAACATATTAAGTCTTCTGTTATTTTCATTACTTGATGCTTTGTTTAAAATGTGAAGGCAACTTACATTGCAGATCATGTAGCAGCTGCACAGCAGTAAGTATCTTAGCACGATGTTCCGGCTGATGTATACACAGATAATCAAGATCCGAGGGCTCTATTTCCCTGAAGAGTTCCAGATCCTCGTATCCGTTCAATACGAAAACAGGAATGTGTTCCTAAGAAGATATATTATTCGATTTATATTATCTTTCCTAACCTGATCCAATATTCAGATGTCGATTCGAATAGTCTCATTTAGTGAATATTATTTATTTATAACAAATGGGTCTAGGTTATATCTACGTCATACTTATGCCCTAGTCAGTCAATATTTCTTTAAAACAATAAGTGACGCACTAGATGCGTCATTCAATTTCTACTAATAAATGTATGACACACCATGTGCGTCATGAAGTGTTTGCTCTTTCACAAAATATGTAAAGTGTCATTTAATTTTTACTAAAAATGAATGAGACATTAGTGCCTCACTGTTTATTGGAAATAACCATTGACGCAATCAGTGCGTCATTCAGTGCTTATTTACCAGTGACATTAGATGTGGCATTTTTACTTGGAACTACTTATGATACACTATATGTGTCACATGGTGCTCTTTCAAGACAGGTTAGGATATAGCAAATATGTTATGGAATGTTAATTTAAAATTACTAACGACGCAGTCAGTGTGTCATACAGTGTACAATATATGACGCACCAGGTGTGTCACAACCTATAATGCACTGAGTGTACGAATTATTATTTGAAACTATTCATAGCACACTAAATGTACTATTCAGTGCTTATTTGACCAAAGTTATGATAGATTTAGTGCATCATGCAGTGACCAATCGATGACGCACCATGTGCGTCCTTGAAAGAAACAATATTAAACAAAATTAGAGTGATAAAATTGAACTATTGGAATACTAGTAGTTCTAAAATATTCTAGTACCTAAGTACCTAGTATCTATTCTAAAACACTATCAAAAGAATAAGTTGAATGCAAATATATTTTAAGTACTTAAACATAAAACTTTAAGCACTCAAATATACATCACATGGAACATAACAATGCAAGGATATATAAAAAGGTAAAACCTTAAAGCTGATCAAAATTTCCATAAACCCATTAGTCCCGCTTCCAAAAAGCCAACTAGTCGCCATTAAAGAAAAAGTGCGGCGAGATAAGCAGAGAATGGGAAGAATAAGCTGAAGGGACGGAGGTACACGAAAGAAAGTGTCGATAAAGAAAAAAAGAGGAACCCGACACGGTTCACGGAATCGCGTGGATTGTAGGCGGCATAAAAGGCGTACGCAGGACAAGATGGTGGTTGGGCATATGGTTGAAAAGGAAGAGGTCCAGCAAATAAAGAAACATATAAAAGCAAGTTCTACCCTGCTTTGCATTCGAAGCGATGCAAATGCGAATCGGTTTGTTCGAGTCGTGGCAAGATATTGCTCTCTACCTGAAGATTCATTCTCTGCAAGAGCTCTTGAACGGAACCAGGCTTCTGCCTGTATCTCTGGCCCCACTTTCCCCGCCCTTCGGGTTCACCACGCCTTGGAACTCTGTCGTTCAGTATCTCGACGTTTATGAACTTGAAGTGGCCTATCCTGTTGTGCAAGACACCCTTCCACAGACCGCTTTTGTTCATTTGCACCACGTCGATGATGTCTCCCTTCTGTAACAAAAGCCGCGTTTGCAATTTGCCTGATCCTTTACGCGTGGAAAATCCTCGACAACTTTTTCCACTTTGTAATTCGAAAAATTGAACACGAGACCCTACCGAGTTAGACACTCTTGTTACCAAGTCGTATTCAGTCGAGAATTATTGAAGAAGGGATGTCAATACTTTTCCTCAACAAATTACAGAGTATAAGCTACTGCGCTCAGTCGGTTCGGCAGCAAAAATATTTGCAAGTCTCATCTGGTTAGGAGTTTGGTTAGTTTTTGATTAGGTTCAAGGTTAGTCCAAGGTTACTATTCTTCCCGATGGTTCTACTGCTTTGAAATGCATATTAGTTTTGTTGGCTGTATTCGCAAGTTTGATCAGGTTTGAGTTAGGTACAGATGCAGGTTTAGGTTAATGTAACATTCGCTCAGAAGCATGCGTTAATCCCCGCATAGTCGGTTCAAAGAGTTTACAAGTTTGATTAGGTTTCAGGTTAAGTTTAGAGATTACCCTTGTTCTGAAATTAATTTCCATTTCCTCTTTTCAAAGCCTCCGGTGGACTAATTTTCGTCATCAAAATATTCGCCAATTATATCTATATATAACCCCTGATTAATAGCATATCTGCTTTGAGGTGTATATTTCCGCAAATCAGGCTCTGATTAATTGCGAAAGGGAATGCACACAGAATTAATCCCTAAGCTGAACCTCAAACTGCATGTTCTATTTACATTAAGTCCTTGCTTCTAAGCGGCATTTTTCGACGAACACAAGATAAAGAAGAAATTGAACCAAACCTTGAATTTCAACGCCTCCTTGTCGTAAGGGCTGGGCGTATAGTCGACCAGGGCTCTAGCCCTGCACAACACGGGTCCTATGGCGCTCGGACTGACAGCATCCCTATCTTCGCAAGATATCGAACTGTGATTGCTTCCTGCACGCACAAGTGCTTGCGTGCTGGAGCCACTGCCGCTAGGAAGGCTCTCGACGCTGCTGGCGCTACATGGAAACGCATCTGAGGATGTGCGGTCCTGGCGCAGCCTCGAAATCTTCCGTTGCACATCATGCCTTAAGTTTCTTGCCCTGCCTGCAATTCCTGCCCTATTTTCGCCCTCGAGTAGAGCGCTAGCTTCCGACTGAAAATTTTAACGATACGTTACGGGACGCTGACGGCAAACATCCGTCGGCCATATTGAAATGAACAAAGGAAACAGCACTGCCTCTCTAAGATATCCTAATTTCTGGTTCAATAGTTTCCAATTTGATCGAAGTAAAAAAGCCTCCAAGAATGAGGGTCATTTAGAGAAGCAATGCCATATATCGAAGAGTTACACAGAACGGTTTTTGAACAATCGCGGTAGGTTCTGAAGAATGACTTTCGATGTTTCTGTTGGTATTTCGAGATAGTCGTTTCGTGTAGCTCCTCAAAGGTGGTCGATAAAGTCTTTATACAAAAGGGAACTGGAACCATTTTTCTGCAATTATAAAGATTGTTGAAGATTTGAGGACATGCAACGATAAGGCACGACCGTGGAAGATTCATAGAGGAGCGATGAACCTCAGCTTCGAGCCTGCGTGACGTCATTGTCGACTTGTCGGTGGTGTACTCGCACGTGTTGTGATTGTATAACTCGTGATGATGTACATAAGCGACTACTTTTGGTGTGTACATTCTTAACGAAACGTTACTGCACAGCACGATCCAGCGAAATAGGTCATTCGATTCGATCGGGATTAAGTAACGACCAAAGCTTGCATGCATTTGGCTCTAACGATAACGATACTTTATATCGATTTACGCTCGGCTAATTTGATCCGACGTTTAAGTTCACTCATGTAAAAAATCGTCGAAGGAAAAGAAGAGGTGTTGCGGATTTTTCAGATGAGTGAAGATAACCGATGTGAAAAGATTACTTACCGGATTGTCACGATAATTAAAACAAAAAGAAGAAAAAATATCCTAGTTTAAATGCACGCGAATTTGTAAATGGAAGACATGGCTACGATGAAGTGGTAGTGTCGGTATACTTTGGATTTGAGTTATTATCTTTATTATATTTCGGAAAGATTATATACCACATGTATTGTATTCTATATGCCAAAACGGAGCGAAAAGTCTTTTACTACTTTGCAATCGGACGCTTCGTTTTTGAGATATAGGCGATTAAAGATTGGGTACTATACTCTTAGGATACAAGAAGTGGTCGCTGTGCGCATGCGCAACCACGTGACTGTCTTGCGCATGCGCAGCCACGTGACTGCTCGCGCATGCGCCTATGGTTCAAACACGAAGCGTCACATAGACAATCTTTAATTACTTATATCTCGAAAACGAAACTAGCTACAGCAAAACGATAAAGGACTTTTCGATTCGTTTAAGCACAGAAAATCTATAGCTGTCGAAGTATCCAATCCTTTTCCAATATTTTGCGTAATAAACAGACATTTCTGACTCTTTCAGAATAGTACTCATACTACTTTTTCGTATATAAGTTTTCAGTTTAATAATTTACATGGAACGAGTTAATTGTTATTTCCACTAATATTTATGTTAAATAATGTTACATAATAATGATTGTTAAAGAAGCATATTATGTTAGAAAGCCTTTACCTATTATCCCCTTAGAAACCGACGTTACCAACCACATAACATGCACTTTTACGACGTTTAATGATTATGAATGCATATTTAAGAGAACATACTTCAAGTATCACGATTATGGGACACTGTACTAGCACAACACAGAGGACTTAACTAGAGCAGGCATGCACATGGGTTGCCCGTGTATAGGCCTTATTTGCGAGCACGGTTTATTGCGGGTTATTGCTAGACTGTGGGAGTGACATAGGAAAGGAATGGGTGATTCTAGCATATCTCAAAAATAATTTGTCTCTAAAAGTAGGTCGCAAACATGGTATAACATTACTTAATATTACCAAAAGTTTTTTACTGTTACTTCAGTAATGACATAACTTGCTATATTAAAGATTCTATAAATCTCGAGTATACTAAAGATATGACAAACATAGTTCTGCTGAGTATAAAAAAATTGTTGTTATAGCTTGTTACCATGTTTTTTGATTGACCTAGGTAATTTGAACTATGGTAAATCTAGTAAAGGTATATTCTCATGAATCTCGAGTTCTAAACTTTACCCGCCGCTGCAATGCGCCGTTTTGCCTCGTGGGCAGCCGTGCCCGGCTCGCAACTGGTTGTGCATACCTGAACTAGATAGAAAGGGAGACACTCGTGAAAGGAGAACTTGTATATGACACGTACTGTGTGTACGGCGGCCGAGTGTTGCTTCTCGAGCTCTTCTTGATCCTCGTAGTCGCTGCTCTGGCTTGGTGATAGTCCTTCCTCGCCGCTACTCCGGCTCTAAAACGTTGATACTCGCAGAGACAGTTCTAATCACGCATATGTAAAGGATAAGCGGGCTCTAAATCGGTCTAGTTAGCGCGTAATGCCATTAGAGGTGATTAGTCGTTACGAAATAGAAGCTAGATGAAAATTAAATATGGAGATAGAGAGAAATACCATGGATTATAGTGGTAGTGTCAGATAACAGCAAAACAATGTCACAATGTGTATCATAAATATTAAGTTACTATACGTGCACAGTACGTAGATCAGCCCAAAGTGTGCATGCTACGAATTCTTTGAAAACATAAAGAAATAATAACATTAACAGTATTTTTGGTGGTTCTGTCTTGATATGATTCATTAATTTGTAAATTCGAGTATAATTGTTTAGTCGATGCGTTACTGATTCGGTAACTTTAATTGAATTATCATCTATCATCTGATTTTTGTCAAAATTAAAATTTGACGTGAAATGGAAATTCAAATTAAAATCTCAATTAAAAATAGTAACTGTTAATTGTAACTGATAATTCAATTAAAATTGATGAAAATAATAATTCAATTAAAATTGTATCATTACCAATCATTTAATTCCTGAAACTAAATTATAAGTATTATAATTTCAAGATTGATAATTCATAATAACAGGTAGTAATAATTCGATTTAACTAAAATTCAATTTGTGGAAGATATTAACCCACTGAATTATTATTGAAATTATAATTCCAATTAACGTGAAATTATTAGTAATGATTTAATTGATTAATGAAATTAATTCCAAGATACAAATATACAAGGATTAATTAACATCATTAAATATGTAATAAGATACATGTTGATTACTGTTAAATTAAACATCACTACTTCATTAAAAGTTCATTAAAAAAATATACCAATTATAAAATTGATATCCTGTTATAAAATTTTTCGTAGAATAATTATAAATAAAAACCAAATTATTAAAGGTCCCCAACGAAACAGAAATTGTGCATAAAATTTCGTTTATGTGCGTATAATTTGTTACAAATAAATGATAGAGGATTAGAGAGATATTCAATGACGCTGTAATAACAACAGGATACAGGTAATAAGATCGATCAAGTTTTCATCAAAGCATGCCTCGCCGGAACACTTTAAAGTAAAGCATTCCTCTGTGAATTGAATGTATGCTTTTATGTACAAACTCCTGATATATTGTTAATAACGTAGAGCGTATAAGTTGCGATATAAGACACTATAACGCGTAGCAGAAACTGAGAGCAGCGTACTAGACGATCCAAAAGTTTGAATTAAATTTCTAGAAAGTTGTATTCTCAGCCATTCACTGTAAACTTCGTGTGCGAGGTAAACTCATGGTTGTATAAAAAAAACTTGGGTTCAATCACATTCTTATTTTATGCAGTGAAAATGAAAAATTATGTAAAATGACGAAGTGTATGTTGAACCGGGTAGTAAATAATTCGTCAAGAAATTAATTAGTAATAATTTGTCAAGAAGTTAAAATGTTCATTAAATGAATAGTAAAATAAGAGAAAATATTACAGAAGGTAATTCCTAACCTCTCTGGTAGAAATGTTTCATTGTCCTAGCTTTTGAATCTATGAATGTGAAATTATTTAGTAATGAGGAGATTTATTAGCGTGATGGATTAAGTGATTAATAATTACTGTTCGTAATATACAGGGTGACTCACAATTAGTGTAGGTCCCTGAAATGGGGGGGTAGCTGACGTGATTCTGAATAAGATTTCCCTTTGTAAAAATGGGGTTCGAAGCTTCGTTTTTGAATTATTAAGGAAAAATACGCACCAATCAGAGCGCGAGGATTACCACGCGTTAGATTCCTACGCTTAAAATTACCACGCGTTGCATTAGTACGCGTTGGACTAATATGCGTTGAATATCCACGCGTTGGATTACGACGCGTTAGATATCCACACGCTGGATTACTAAGCGTTAGATTATCACGCATTAGATTCCTACGCTTAGAATTACCACGCGTTGCATTATTACGCGTTGGATTACTACGCGTTGAATATATACGCGCTAGATTACTACGCGTTAGATATCCACACGCTG